GTTTTAAAGTCAACTGTCAGTTTGCTGAAACAAGACGAGGCAGCTGCCACTGTATCAACAATACATTCTAATGTCAATGTATAGCTTGTGTTTAGTAAAGAAGAGGTATGGACTCAATGAATGTTCAAAATGAGTTGTTGAGTTGAGATATTGCAGGTAAAAGCTCAGATGTTGGAATGATACATGGCCTTGGTGTGATATGCAGTATAGTGGTCTCCTCCTGCAGGTCAGAGCTGGATCATATTGTTACTATTTCCTCATTGCTGACGGAGACAGTGGTCTCAGAAAATGGAAAGATGTCACTGAAGAGCTGTATCTCAAAGGCGCCAGAGCCGCCCACATTCAGCTTCACTTTTCAGAAATGTATTAGTGACGTCATGGAAACTATGTTTGTATTTTATTCGGAATGCTTCACAAATCCACAGTGCCTGGAGTACGTTGGACAATGCTTAAGTGCTAGCTGTTCCGACTAAACTCAACATGAACAAAGCATTATTTATGTGACGGAGGTTTGGACCAAAATGCACACTCAGACAAGGGGAGTAAAATAAGTGAAAGGTTTATTGCAGGGATAATGGGTGGTGAGAATGGCAAGAGGCTGAGATGGAGCAGCGGAGACCAAGGTTGAGAGGGCGATGGTGGATGACTGAGCCGAGCAAGGAAGGCCGGGCAGAGCAGAGTGTGAGTGAGTGTGAGTGAGTGAGTGAGTGTGGCATGTTGGGGAATGAGCCAGCAAGGAAGGCAGGGGAGCCGGAGAAGATGATCGATGTTTGACAATCATCAGTCAAAATCTCGCTCTCTCTTTCTCTCTTTTTTGTTGAACACGATGGTCGCGAACACCAACCTGGTTGTTGTGAGGCATCACGATTTGAAAAGCCTGGCAACCGTTGATCTAAGCAATGCTCATTCATATAACATCAGGTCCATGGAACAGAATGCAGCGTGAGTTTGTGATCTCAGAGTCTGAGGCTCAGATGTGCACACTTGTGTCTGTTGCTTGCTGCTTGTACACAATCTGTGGCATAATTGTGGGAAGTTTTTACAGAGAGGTGTGTTTATGAAGGCAGGCTTTTGAACCTTACAGCTATAGCCCATGAGCTGAATATCTCTTCTTGTGTTTAACACACAATTACATTGCAGCTGTTGCTTTTGTGCATGTGTACGCATGCAGCTAGCCTGAAATATTCACTCAAATACTAAAACAACAACACTTTGTCCCTTTACTTTGTTCCAAAGTGCAAGATATCTGTGTTTTTGTTGTGGATATGATTTTATCTTTAAAATGGTTGCATTGGTTTTCACTATGCATTTATTTATTTGTGGGAATGTTATGTTTGCAAGCAGCATGCAATTATAATATATTTTTTGCCACGTACCATGGTCAGTATGCAACGTTGTTCTACATCTCCCGCCCACTCTTCTGTCTGCAGTGTGCCTGTGAGAGTTGCCTGTGAGAGTTGCCTGTGAGAGTTGCTCAGTTTAACATCGAACATTACATCTTGTGATGTCCTGCCTCCGCCAGCCATCAAAGAAACACCTCTCTGCTGCTGTGGACCTCATCTCTGTCTTTCTTCTTTTCCTCTGCCTCTTCCTCTTCCTCCTCCAATATCCCACCAGAAAAAAAAGGAAAGTCACAAACGCCTTCATAAGTACAGTTTTTCAGAGCTTTGTGGATGTGGTTTTTTTAAAAAGGTATTTGTCCTGATAAGCTTTCTGTGTTTCTCACTCCATCATAACTCTTAATACCAATTCACTGCAGTGTTTACACATAACCATTACAAATCTATTTAAAACTGATGCTCAGCTGTTCAATCTCCCCGAGAGCAACAGAGCTTCAGACAGCACAATATGTGGTCCGACATTTGCCTTTTTTATTGCAATGCTAAAATAGGACATTTTCAATGCTGTCATCATCCCTCTCATTCATTTTATGGCAAGAGTGTGACGTATTTACCTATAGGTCAAAAGACCTGAAATTATTTTAGGAAGGTAACAATTTATTTTTGCTTTTTGGAAAAAAGGCTAAGTAATTATTCTGCATTTTGAAGTTGAAACATCATAATAAGGGTTCATCTGAAACCAACACAACACATAACGTAAAAAGCATGCTGCAAACTAGTGTGCATTTAGACATACATTCTTATTTTATAAAATGTCCTGCTCAGGTTGTCGCCAGTCTTGTACTCACTCTCTCTCTCTCACACACACACACACACACACACACACACACACACACACACACACACACACACACACACACACACTTTCACTAATTGCATGATTACAAGCCTCAAGGGGCAGTTCAGGATATTGTGTTTTGCCTTCAATTTTTTCGACATACTATACTGTGATTTTTTCATGACTTTTTTCATATTCCTTTTTTCTTCATGAGACTCTACGAGCCATTTCTTCTTTATTTTAGAGACAGTGCAACCACCAGGTGACACGGCATTAACATAATTAGTTATCTTCCCCCATTCCCCGGCTTTAGCAGGTCCCTTCATTCCGTTGTTGACACTGTTAAAACTTAGAGACTTACTTCATCTGGGAAAGCAGGACTTCAATATCGGACAAATGGGGCAGAATGCCTAGACTGATATGGTATTATTAGGGCGTTAATAATGCTAATTTAAAATCCTCATGAATGTGCACTCATTCATGCATATCCTCACCCTGGTCATTTCCATATTTATCTGAAGTTAGGAGTGTTTGCTGAATTTGATGTGGCACATTAAGAATACAAAAATGTTCTTGCATGAAGTCCTGTAACTGTCTAAAGGCTCTTTGACCAATGACAGATGATATCATAGGTTAACAGAGTCCTCACAGTATTGTTGTCCAATTGTTTTGTTAGGTCTATTTCCAATAGGCAACAATTAGTTGCCACCCAGCATGTACAGTGTGTTCTCTTGTAGACCAGCTGCCATGTCCCTGTTCACTGCATTACAGAGGCCCTTCCAGCCTCTGGGTTACAGCCGTGTGTTTCATGCTCGGATGGAACCATAATTTACCATAGAAGAGATTATTCAGTGAGTCAAACTGCTCTTTGATCTCTTCCAAGTCTGTGTGTTTGTGCGTGCGTGCAGCCATGCCTCCCATAAATCACGTTTCTACACAACCATTCTGCATTAAAGATGTATGTTGAATTTGCCAATGCAGGGATTCAATGAGACATTCATGAAGTGTGTAAAGATCGGGTCGGTGGATAGATGTCTACTGTATGTCTTTACTTTCTACTTTCATTCTTTTAACACAATCTGTATATTGTTATCAAATATATTTACAGGTGAAAAATGTAAAAAAATTAAATAAAATGTTCCTAAGAATACTACATAAAGGTTCCATAATGTGTGATTATTGAACGTTTCATTCCAAAACAATCATTAATCTTCAGCCTGGTGTGAAACCAGAAGTCAATGTTAACATATTTGTTATGTAAGTTTTGTACTTAAGTGATGACACTTACGCAATTATTTTAACCCAAACAACGATTTTTTCCTAACCCCAACCAAGTAGCTCTAACTCACATAGGCTCCGCCCTCTACTGGACTCTACTACACTCTATGGGTAGGATTCTCCTCAAATCACAAGCAGGCATGACTGAAAATTAGCATAATCATAACAGTCCAATTAGGACATGCCTACCTGGATATGTGCGGACCCCACCGTTAACAAGGCAGCACACACACCACTCTCTGCAATGTGCAGTGTGGCTGTAAGTTCTCGCCATGTGTGGGACTCTCCCGAGGATGATTTCCAGAGTGGCCCCCATCACCATCAAAGGACTTTGGATATATTTCAACTGTTATTCAGTGCTTTAAACATCTGGATGAGGAGAAATCACAGCTCAGCCGTCACCTGCCGCACACTCGCCCTCAGAGGAAAGCTGAGGCAAAGTTCAATGTGGAGGAGGAAGCGTTGGTCGGATAGAGCACCTGCGCCTCATGCCACCTCCACGTCTCAAGCTGCCACAGCACAAATACCCCATCACTGCCCTCATCGCAGCTGCAGTGAACTGGTGCAACTGAGCAGACGGCTTATGTTTGGAGCAGATCGATAGTGTAGAAATGCATAAGACGGTAAGGGTTGCGTTCCCCGGGCCTGTCCTCGAAGCCTTGCTGAAGTTTCCTTTGAGGCATTGGAGCACTCCTCTCTAGAGGTGCTGTTATTCAAGACAGTTTTGCTGCTGGCACTGACCTCAGCTAAGAGTGTGAACTAATGGTCGGTGGACCCCAGTTGCTTGCTGCTTGGTGGGCTACCCTCAGAACAAATCGCTCCTTTGTTCCCAAGAACTTAGAGTTCTTTCAGGTTGAGGGTTATACAGCTGGATGCTTTTTTCTTCCACAACATGCGGTGGACAGGGAAGCAGAATAACATTTGCTTTGTATAGTTTGTACACTTGCATGTGATGTTGAACGGATGTTTGTAACATGTGATTGGAGTGTATTACACGTAGATTCTAGTAGAGAGCTCCAACTGTGCTTATAGTGATAGGGTTACAATATTATAACCTTTTTGTGCCTGAACTTAACCTAGTCATTTGAACCTACGGATCGCTTGTGTTGCTGGACATTCATCAAAATGCACGAAAAAATGAATCTAACTTTCGGTATGAGGACACGCTGCGTTGGGGCCAAAATGGTGGCAAGGGGTGCATGGCCCACCTTAAATTGGATTGGCTACCCTAAAATCCAGGAGTGCAACTAAAAATGTGTTTGTTACCATATTTTCATATCCAGGCATTACTGACTAATTACAGCCTGCAACATATCTTTACACATGTGCTCTACAGCTGAGAGACCCTCTGATAGATGCATGTGATTATGTGGCACTGTCATGCATAATGATGCAATTTAGATTATAATTAGACATTGCAACTGGAGGCTTAACTATACCTCTGGTGGCTGTTTTTGTGCATAATGGAAACAAAAATATCACAGCAATCCTCTCGCGTCATTGTGATAGTGTGTGTGTGTGGGTGTGTGTGTGTGTGTGTGTGTGTGTGTGTGTGTGTGTGTGTGTAAATTGCTTCACAAGCTAGTTATTCATTTTTGTGGCATATTTAAAACCTCTACCAGCAAATGTTTCGCATTTTATTTGAACAAATATCGCATTTATTTAAGTTCAAAGACAAAAGAAAGGCAAAGATCATTTGTACAAACATGTTTGCTCCCTTTAGCATGAGTTGTGCATTTCCTCATCATATAAACAAAAAGTATGGGAGAAAATAATGTAATCCAACAACAATATTGTGGTCAAAGTAATCAAAGATTCTGTCTTGTGTGTTTTGTGCGTTGCACGTTTGCTCTTAATCGTAAACTTAATCAAAAGTGAAAAGAGAATTAACAGGCTTGAAATTGGATGATAGAATCCTCTCATGAATTAATAGAAATGCTATTTCAGGAGTAACTAATCAAGTACCATTGAATCCAATATTTACCAGGCCAACCAATTACCTGGTGGAACATTAATCAGAGAGAACATTTATAAACACATGGTTTCTAATTACAAAAGAGAGGAACAGTCTGTCCTGTTTGTTAACAGCACTGCCAAGTGCGTCAGAAACCTGAACTCTAATTGTAAATGACAGAAAACGCAGCGAGCGCGATTGGCTCTGACAGTGAGCAGCTTGATGAAACCGACTGGGGAGCGGGTGTGACAATCATCAGTCAGCTCAATGGGGGGAGAGGTGTCTGCTGCAGGGTTGAGCTTTGTATGGTAGAGAGTTTGTGTCACTTCTACTGGAGGTGGGGGGGTTCCCAGTTTTCTAACATCTGTTGGATTTGAATTATCTGGCCCCAGTCCTGAAAGAGTACTGGATGTGCAAAGTTTTGATCCCACCCAAACTCTAATAAACCTCTTTAGAACCAGGAATCAAGACTAAGAGGCGAAAACGCAGTAACTAAATATTTTGTCAAAATTAAGTTACGACCTTTATATAATAACATGGGAATGATTTCAGTTAAGACAGGATGTAAAATGAGCTCAACAAACCTCAGTGACTGTGTATTGCTGGCCAGGTTGCATTAACTGCACGCTGTTCAGCAATCTCTGGGCTCTAGAACATGTTGTCACAACCAAACAGAGACACATTTAATTCCTGTAAACTGTCAGTTATTAATTTAAATAAAGTTTGTTTTCTTAAACTTCTTAAAATGATCTAAAATGCATCACTGCATCATAACCTTGTTTTTGTCAAGGTCATCAGAAAGGCAGAGTGCAGTTTTAGGTAAAAATAAGCTTCTTAAAGGGTAAAAACCTTTAAGGCATTCTAACCTTTGCATCTCTTACGCAGCTCATCCACCAGTCTGAAAACATCAAACTCTTTTTTTTCTCAACTTCAATTTTTCTATATTACTGCTCGATGCAAAAGGCAAGAAGCAAAACCTGCACACCGAATAGTCCTTTAGGACTCAAAATACTGTCTTCTGATTGGTCATCTGAGAACTGAGAGTTAGTCACTTGTTCAGGATTGGTCGAGGGTGACAGTGAACCCTAATCGGTTGGCAGTTATGAGAAGAAACCCATAAGAGGCTGGAAGAAGAGGCCCACGGTTCCCAGGACACACACCGTCACAAACACCCAGAGGAAGATCCGATCGATCACCATGGCCACATACTTCCAGTCATCCTCCACCTGTGAGCAGGGGAGGGGACAAGACAACAGGTGAGAGAGCGTCAGCGGTGACAAATGAAGGAGAGGTTTTATTTAAAGCAGGTGAGGATAGGTATGAACGGAGACATGTGATTTACAGGTGAGAGGTTTGTGGGAGTGGATGAAGGAGGTGAGGAGTACACAGATGGATGGAAAGAAGGAAATACCCACAAAACAGACCAAGAGAAAAATAGAGTTAAACATTTCTTGCAAGCCAGCAGACACGGATACATAATTTACACCGGAGGAAATTTCTACGCTAATCGCATTCAAACCATAGCGTTAGAAGAAACGACAGGCGTTTTGACAAAGCTGATTGAGCCGCGATATTTGCATATCAAAGGCTGTTTCTACCCGTCGGGAGATTTCACCACTGTGTTTATAACAGAGAGAGAGGAAGAGGAAGAGGAGGGAGAGCCTTCGACTCACATCTAAAATCATTTGGTTCAAATTTACACTATTGTTAACTTGTGGAGCAAGTTAGGATCTGCAACAATGCTGCTCAGAATCACAGTATGACTCTCCCGGGCCGGTGCTGTTTACAGTGGTTTTGCATAAATGCATTATGCATTGAACACTTGGTGTGTTGTTGCTTTCTATGAGCGGCTGTAGGTGCATATAAAGTTTAGAAACATGGGAATATTATTTTTCTTATGTGACTTGATCCAAAAGAAAAGCTCAAAATAGTCAAATTGCATTTGAAGCAAGAGTGCATAATGAGCATGTTATTGTTGTTGGTGTTAAATTCAACACGTACAGTAACTGCTTTGTCTTGTGTGTGGATGAAGGCTGGTTTGTGTGACGGCTCTGGGTGCCCCTTGCAGGAGCTTATGTCTCTCGTGATTGTGATTAATTACAGCTTGGATGGTATTTTTGTAGTTTGGCCATGTATTATTACATTAACGTCTGACGGGCGAGATACATAAGCAGACAAGACAGGTTGTAAACAAGTTTAACCAGATTTTCTAAACCACGTTGTCCTGTGCAATAATTCCTCATTGCACAGGAAACGTCCAGTGTACGGTGTAAAGTACAGTGGGTCCAAATTAATACCGAAAATGGTCTGTAAGCTGTGATGTATGTTTACAACATTTAGTTTATTATTTCACTGCTTGTATTTTTTTTGTCTCCAAAAATGTTTGGCCAACCTGTGGCTTTGTTTAAATGATATCTGGTAGAAAATGTACGCAGCAGATTTATATATAATGCACAGGTGTGACTAATGCAATTAAGCAGCTGAATTCCATTCAGCCATGTAGAGTGCTGGTATTGTGCATGCTTACTGGGACACTTGAATACAACACAGCCATTGTTAATGTCCTCATTAACACTTTGCTTGGCTTACACAGCATGAATGTGACAGTAAACGTAAGCAAAACACATTTGTTGGAGAACATTTGAACAGCAGCGGTGCTTGATAAAAAAGCTTGCGTTGCATTTGATTTATTTTACTTATTAACCATTCTGAGTAATCAAATACAATGAAAATATGAAGTACTCACTACTTTGGCCTTGTTGCGACTCCTCATGTTCTCAGCAATGTACTTGACGCTCTCGATTGCCTGTTTGATCTCAGGTGACAGCACAGAAAAGGCCACCACGGTGTTGATGCTCTGATGACTCAGCTGACGTGTTATCTTCCCCATGTCTGGTGTTTCTGGGGTCTCCTTCCCATGCTGGCAGGGGCAAGGGCATTTCTTACCAGTGCAGCCGTCCACGGAGGAGAACTTACTGTCCCCGACCTCCAGACAGTTGAGAGAGCCTCCTCCAACCTGCTGCGATCACAAACAGAGTTTTGGATTAAGTTTCAACTCAAAGTTGACATTCTTGGGTAATTACTTCATATAAAACATGTGGATCTGTACAGCAGGTGCAACATTAACACGGTGATATGAAGTAGATACAGTACGTGTTTCTTTCCAGTGTTTTGGGGTTTAAAACCTTTGGTGAAAGTTATGGTGGTGTATCTACAGTATGATTCAATAATAACACTGTGTGTGAGAGAACTCTTTAAAAATGATTTGCTTCTTGCAGGAAGTTCTAGAAGAGCACTCCAAGATGGAAGACGGTTGTATGGTCTGACAAGCAAACTATCAAACTGTTAGAAACACTCTCAGTCTGTTGGTGGAGGTAATGCCATTACTCCTGGCCTCTAGTTGGCCTTCACAAAGTGATGTAGCGCAGGGTAGCCACATCAAGATGAATTGACAACCTAAACTTTCTGTGGTTTATAGAACAGGTCCAGACATGACACTTGGGTCAGAGCCGAGAGCTCAAGTGGACTAGATGTTTTGGGGTGGGAATGCCTTACCTGCATCAAGCTATTCTTCCGTTTCTTCCCTCCTTTACCTCCTCCGCCTCCTCCTCCCCCTCCAGCTCCTCCTGCCTCCCCACTGATATCCAACCCCCCAGGCTTGCTGTCGTCGTCAATCGGTCTCCGCATCAACATAATCTTCGGCAGCACTTTGAGAAACACCGAGCGCACCCAATCCGGCATCGTGTGGGTCATTGGCGTGCGGTAGTGTACATTCAGCACGAACACGGTGATGACGATGCTGAGTGTGACGAAGATCATTGTAAAGAGCAGGTACTCTCCAATGAGCGGGATGACCAGCGAAGTGGAGGGGATGGTCTCGGTGATAACGAGCAGGAAGACAGTGAGGGAGAGCAGGACGGAGATACAGAGCGTGACCTTCTCTCCGCAGTCGGACGGGAGATAGAAAACCAGCACCGTGAGGAAAGAGATGAGGAGGCAGGGGATGATAAGGTTGATGGTGTAAAACAGCGGCAGCCGCCGGATGTACAAGGAGTAGGTGATGTCTGGGTAGATCTCTTCACAGCAGTTGTACTTGATATCATGCTTGTAGCCCGGAGCGTCAATGATTTCCCACTCTCCGCTCTCCCAGAAGTCTTTCAGATTCACCTGGTGATGGATAAAGATCTTAAAATCAAATGATGGAATGATTTCACACCACAACAACATTCAGGGTCTGCTTACCATTCTTAAAGGTCAGTACAATACATATAACGCTCGTGCATTTGGTTTTCACAGTTGTTTTCCTGATGAATATGGATTTGTTAGAATGTGCAAAACAAAGAGATTTTCACCTGTTTCATGTCCACATGCACCCAAAATACTGTACGGCGCTGCAAGAAGACGCTGATCACTGTAGTTTACAGTAAATTAGGCAGTTTTGTGATGTTAACGGCTCAGAAAATCGTACAATAATCGGAAGTGAAGCCACTGATTATCCACCAGAGTCCCTCTAAGTAACCAACAAAACTAAATAGTTGAACTACAGAATGGTTGTGTTCAACCTTGCTTTCAAAATTCAATTTTATTCTCATAACTCTTCTTGTTCAATTTCTATTCAAAACACACAATGATAAAAGATGTTAGAAGAGGAACTCCAGCGATTTATTGCCCTTTGAAAAAGTTATACATGCATTGTACATAATACACATCCTTCATTAAACCCTCCATGCATTCTGGATTAGAGTTCGGTTGATTTCTGGTTCTGTCAGTCTGGAGTAAAAGCTTACATCCGTTTGATTTTATGCAAAACGATTTTTCATTATAACACATTCTGGAAAACTGAAAATGTACATCAGCAACTTGCACCGACAGTCACAGCACTAAGTCCAACTTGTATTGGATTAGTAATAAGAAACATGACAACGTGGTTAACATAATATCATGTCTGTTTATAAAGAGACTAACGGAGACTCGAGTGTCTGACAGACAATGTCATGGAGACGGAACGAGGCGCTCGTTGTATTTGTTTGCTTGAAAATTCATGTTTTCTGGAGTGACGGAGAAGACGAGACGGATTTCTGCCAGTCAGCGTTTTAACGCCTGGCGGCCAATAACTTTATCAAGTGTGCAGTTGAAAGAGAAAGAGCGAGAGAGGGAGCGAGCGTGTGTGATAGTGAGTATGAAGTTAACAGTAACGTTAGAGCAGTGTCGAGTGTACAGTTTAGGCTGCTGGTGTATAAATGCTACAACTCCTCAAGAAGTTCCTGTGTCTTGCTTGCTGATTAAAGTGAACGGGGTTAGCACCATGCTCACTTAAGGTGGGCTGACCTTGAAGACAGACCAGTATTCTCATCTTAGTGGTTAGCCGCTTTTTCCGAGTTACGGCGAAGAGGTTGCTCAGTCAAGTGCCACAACAAAAGATACAATTCAGTTTGCCAGTCCTGTATGTGTTTGATTGTTTGAAACATTTTATTCTGGCCCAACACTAAATACCCACATCATTCAAACTCCGTGTCCCCAGTTTATGACGCAGGTATTTTCTACTAAAGGTAACCCTAATGACACCATCAGGGTTATACTTCAAGACTGTAGAGAGCTCCTTCCAGAGCTACAGAAGACTGAGCAGTGCTCAACATTCCAAGGTAATTTACCAGAAACAATGATCTCCACAGTAAATACATGCAGTATCTATATGGATGAGTGTAAACAAGAAAGAAAGAAAAGTAATGAAATTGATAAATAGTTGATCGTTACGCCAGACTTGGACACAGTCACAAACACTGACCTTCGACCCAATAAGAACCAGGTCAATCTTGGCTTTATCATAAGTCCAGGAGCCGAACTTCATGGAGCAGTTCTGATAATCAAAGGGGAAGTAGGTGATGTCCATGGGGCAGGAGGATTTGAAAATAGCTGGAGGAACCCAGGTGATGGTACCATCAAACTTCAGTAGAGCCTTGGTCTTATCTTCCACCAGGAAATCACCTACAGCGCTGTGATGTGTGTGTGTGTGTGTGTGTGTGTGTGTGTGTGTGTGTGTGTAATAAAGCAGTAGTCCCATGGCAGAGAGGATATGAGGAGATATAATACAAGCATGTGTAGGTTTTGATTAGGACACAAAGGTCAGAGGGAGGCAGAGACATCAAACAATGGGAGGAAAGGTGAGGAGAAAATGAAAGCGAGAAACACAAGAGAGGAGAAGATAAAAGGTGAGGTTCTGGAGGTAAGAAAGCTATAATAGGACAGAAAGACAGAGTACAATGAAACTGCATTATGGATTATTGTAAAATATAAAATTGCCTTTGATTAACATTATGAGTCACGATTGTAAGTACGAAGACAAAATGACTTTGAAAGAGCAGAGCAGAGCACAAACAATAGAAGAGTGTAATTGAGTGTAATTACGGTCTGTTGAATAGAGCAGCAGCTAGAGGTAGACAATGCCTCTGTGCTTCAAGGAATTTGTAATTAATGTAATATGTTGATGATGTTACCAACACAAGTTCTCATGCTGAAATGACAAAACTGTTTTTTACAGAATGATTGACATGAGTGGTTTCTGATCCGTCCTCTCTACAGATAGTGGATGAATAGTGGTTCGGTGACATCGTTATGTGACAACGCTGTCACACTGTCACGCTTTCACCTACGCTTCTAAAGCAAGCATGTTGGCAAGCAGTTGCCTATTTACAAATATACAGACACAGAGCAGCATTATCAGTCATTCGGCGTCGGGTTTCTCATTACTGGATGAATGTAAGTCCAATATTAATTTCCATTTTAGCTCAGATTTGGTCTCGACCAAAGCCTGAGGAAAGCATCTGGCTCTTAAGCTGCTAAATGCTCCACTATGTTCACCAGCTAGTCTGCTGCTGGAAACAAAGGTTGGTGAGAAGATGAGAGTGGTGAAAATGAACCAAAGCAGTGAAACCAAAACAATAAGCTGAAAGAAGCTCAAACACTCCAGAGAGCTGAGGGCAACTGCAGAGTTGGGGTTTAATTATTTGCAGTTGAAGCTAAACAACAAGCTAATGATAATACGATGAGTCTCACTTGTTGTAGAGCACGATGTCGGGTCTCCAGATCTTGTTTGATGGAACTCTAATGAACTCAATCCCATCGAACTCTGCCGGCATCCATCGCAGCTTGTAGTCGTTCCAAATCTGAGAGAGAAGAAGAGGAAAACATTGAGAGCATGTTGGGGAGCTAACCATATGTTTTGATTTTGCATTGTACACTGCAGACAGTATTAGTCACTTGAGACGTTCCCCTTCATGGGAGTATTTCGAAATGCATATTTATACTGCAGTCAGAACTTCCTTTGATGTATTACAGCAGAGCCAAATAAAGATAATGTTTATTGACAGGAACATTAGTGCTTTCACTGCTTTCTCACAGAAAATCAAGCAAATGTGTTATTGTTTGATGCATTTCATCCTAAAAGAGACACAATGTAAGTAAGCAAATAATAAGACATCTGCAACATATCAGAATAAAAAGAGGAGCACGTGTCAGAGAAGCATTTATGTAAATAGCTCACTGACTGCATTCCATTCAACATACCTGTGGGTAACATTTCACGAGCCGTAGATCCATTAGTCTTGGCTATTTGCATTGCATTCAAGATGAATAAATTCATTATCCAGGCAGATTAATATCCTGTTATGATCTGGGAGCTGTTTAATTAACCACTTCATGCTACACTGGCTTCTTCATTTATCCATCCAGGGAGTTTACAATGTGATTGGCTGGAGATGTAATGATCGTTTAAGGTTTATGGCTTATTGTTACAACAGTAAATGATTCTACATTTACTTTCTATGATCATGACAGCAATGAGAAAAGCATGCAGTGGGTCATTTCTGTTAAGTGTAATCAACAAAGTGAGTTTTCACAAATGAATGAATTTAAACAGGAAGTTAAGGGAAGGGAAGCACAATTATTATTAATATTATTATAATTGTTATTATTATTATTATGTGGATTCATAGTATGCTCTATTTTTCTTTAATTTGGGAATTACTATTTTCACTTCTTCTAATGTATGTAACATATTATTATTATTGTTGTTCCTTTAACTAGATATTAAATAAGGATACACCATATAAAATCCATAATATTTTGCATCTCTCAGTTCTGAATAGTGAAACGATTTGTAACAATACTTCATACTTTATTATCCCCGTAGATTGATTAACGAGCAACTCTCAACCTGAAATTCATACGCAATGAAATACATAAAATAGCCAGCCTGCAGATTGGCACTCGGTATTAGCTAACACACAGTAGGAATGTATATTTCAACAGAGCTTTAAGGAGCAGAAAGTGAAGACATTTAGAGATGCTGTATGCTGTTACAGAAGGAATCCCCTGCAGCGTCACTGCAGAACAGATGCAATAAATGCATCAAGGGGGGCTTTCTGAAATGGCTGCGAATCAAAATCTTTATCAGTGACTGTGGTGTTTACACCGCGTCTCATTAGTGATGCCTTGTACTAAATAAACAGCTCAGCCATTACCAATAAGATCATCCTATACGGGCCTTTCAATGCATTTTCATTTGAAAGCTTAGAGATCAGGATCATCTTAGCCACCATTGATCAGCATCCAACAGCTGTTTGGCCTCAATCAGTCACTGATTTAAAAGGGCAAAGTCTATAATGTTTACCATAAATTGTAGCTTAAATTATATGGTTGTTTTTTTTCAAAAGGAAATTCAGATTTCGTACAGTAAAAGGAAATAAACAATAACTTAAAGGTATCAGGCAGCCTGGAGGATGGAGACAGAATGTGTTATTTGGGAGAATAGCTGGCTGGAGGTCAGGAGTTCAGGGTCCATGGATCTGATCTGCTGAGAGACGCGCGTGACTAAACATAATGCTGACATCCATCACCAGCAGACTGCATTCAAATGTCTATCTGAGATATCCTTGTTTTCTTGTTCACTTGTCTCATGTTCTTTGTTTGTTTGACTGTGTTTAACATTTCAGTGATGTATGACATTCACACACACACACACACACACACACACACACACACACTCAAGCGCACACACAAGCACACATGGAGACAGGGTGTTGCATCCCATATTGATGTCTGCTTTATATATATAGGTATGTGTTAACATACCCCTCCTCAGTCTCCCCTTACCTCTGTCTCTTTAGAAATGGGGTTAGGTCAATGAAATAGTGTGTGTCTGTGTATGTATGTTTGTGTGTGTGTGTGTGTGTGTGTGTGTCTGTGTATGTATGTTTGTGTGTGTGTGTGTGTGTGTGTGTCTGTGTGTGTGTGTGTGCTTGTGTGTGTACTTACATGTCTGAGCCATAAATTTGTTTCCATTATCTGATTCACCTCATCCTGCAAAGACAAAAAGAAGGAAGACGGCTTGTTAACGTGCAGAACTCTTTGTGTGTGTGTGTGTGTGTGTGTGTGTGTGTGTGTGTGTTGTTGGTACATCAGTTGAAGTAAAGCAAAGTGTACGCCATGTGGAGTTTTAAAAGAAAATAAAAGTAAATTATATATCCAGGAAAAATTATTCACAAAATGTTCTAAAATAAATGGAATTTGTCGTCTAATCTTTGTCCTCTGGAGCTGCAGTTGATTGACTGAGTAGGTTAATAACAGATGGAGAGGTTACACATGTCACTTCCTCTCCACCTCTCTCTGTCACCTTAGATCAGTTTGATTTGCAGTCCTGTGATTTTCAGAATTCCACATAAACCACATACAAAAATATATCAGCTGCAAACACTGTGTACAGACACACACACACACCTTTCCATTAATCTCACCGACATAGCTATACATCCGTCCAGTCTGAAACAGGTTCCTGCAGGCAATTTCCCCTTAATCTGAGGATTTCTATTTTGAGCTGAAAACCGGGGGGATGTGCAGCACCCCCCCCCCCCCTCCCACACCTACCACCAACACCACCATCCCCCACCGCTTTAAACTTAACATTGCCAAAGCGAACCAGCAGTGTAGAACAACACTGTGTGACATGTTCACAATCCGTGACATTGAACAGACTAAATAAAGACTGTGTTCACGTCTCTCGTTCTGCAGCTTATCTTTTGCCTTTTCTGCATCAAAGGTATGAAATATGATCAACATGCTCGTTGGAAGACGTCTCGTAGGTCACACATATTTGGGAGGTTGCTATTAGTGAAACAACATTTTGGTTACATACTTTGCTCATACACGCTTATAAAACGAAATATTAAGAAAGGTATGAAATGAATATGCAAAAGTGCTTAAAACACCTTGAACAGAGGACTTAACCGCTTAGTGGGCATGTTATGATTAGAATATCTACTGCGTGTGTGTTTGGGTGTGTAGCTTACAACTTTGACCAGCTGTGAGATGGAGACCTCGAATTCCACAGTGACGGGGTCAGAGACATTCTCAACTGGTCTGATGAACTGGTTATATCTTCTGAACAGTTTCCTGAAGAGCCGGTCCTCTGCTTTGGATGAAAAGCAGTCTGGAGAGACAGAGAGGAGCGGAGCAGACAGAGTGGCTTCAGATGGAGTCACAACATTGAAAGCTGTTAAGTAAGGAAGCACAAAGCAGGCATGTCCACTCTGAATAGTATGATATCGCATCGTCTGTTTTCGTTAATACTTTAGGATCATTGGTTCACTAATTCATTTCAGTCTAAATAGTTATTGTCATTTCTGGACACCATTGTAACGAACCAGAATTCATGAATTGATTGACCACCATTGCAATTTATGTGCAGTACGAGTCTCACTTTAAAAGCCCCGAGAGAAGTGCTTTCTGTTCTTTCGGAGTTATGGGCAGCTGGTAAACAACCACTGAATTTCATTTAAGCCTAAGTCAAAAATCTCAATGGAGATAAATTCTGTCCTCTTCTCGAGGTGCTGGCAGTTGAGAGTGTTCAGCCGGTATGAGTACAAGATTTCATGTCTGTACACATAACCAAAATATGAAGGGTCTTATTTACTAATCACCCAGGAAGGAGCTGGAAGGCCTGAGGCTCAATATCAGCATGTCTACCTCGTGAAAATGCACGGCAAGCTATTTTAACTTAGTGCAGAGGAGTTGAAGACTGTAGCCTGAGGACAGGAGATGAAGGATGAAAGTTTGTCTTTTTTTCAAGCCCAGGTGAGGAATCGAATTGTGAGAGAGAGACGCTGCTTATTTTCTGTGCTTTTCCCCATTCTGTATTCTCGTTTATTTAATATACTCAGTGTTACTTAACACAGATACATTGCACTGTCCTTGTTAATGTAACAATGTTAGGATATTAGATAATAGTAGGATATTCATCATGTGAATTCGAACTGTAGAAAATTTAAAACATTGTTCCATCATTATATCCCACAGCAAAATGTATCCAAAATTGACCAGCAATCAAAAGTGAATTAATAAAAGTCATAATCTTTAAGATTATCAAACTCCATTCATATTCAGTATATTTACATCCAATAATTACCTCTCTAAATAGTGTTTTTCTATTTTTTATGTGGCGGAGTCCGCCATTCAAACCATGGTTGGAATGACCTTCCTCGTATGAGGGATTTACAGGAAATAGTGTTACAGTTTAAAGTTCAATCTCATTCATATCAGCCTTCATTGTTTACTGCCGATGCTTCACATTAAAAGCTTTTATTGCAAAACAGCCACAGGAAAAGTGACGTATTTGTCACCAGTTTGATGACCGCAATCGTTAATAAAAAAAGCATTCATAATACAAGACCCCAGTCATTTTCTGGATCAAATCAGTTTTAAATATTATATGAAACAGTAGTGAAAAACTGGTGGCTATTAACAAAACCTAAATGTTGGATGAAGACAGGATTTTCCATTTATCCTGACTGAATTTAGCCATGACTCGGTTTCATGAAAGCAGTCGCACACAAATGACCGTAGAGATGTGTTCTGTGCAGGAGTAATGAAGCAGGCTAACGGCCAGGCTTGATTACTCCTGGGCCTTATCTGTTCAGTCAGAAGGCACTCCAATTACACCATCAAACAATGTGTCTCTTCACAGTTATTCCATGGTTTGTGTATGTACTTTGCTCTATTTTAGTATTATTATTTTATACAGTGAACTTCGTGGAATCTCTACGAATGACAGCGTGCTATTTTTCGTACAGATATTGCATCAAATGCTGGATGAGACCATCAGCTTACTCAGTGTTTAGTGTGTTTAACACCTTTATCCGAATTACTTACACCTGGTTTAACCGAGTCGCACCTCCTCAACCTGGCTAGAGCCAGGATGCAGTGACTAGACGAGGTCAAGCCTCTGTTTCCGGTTAATTTTCCAATCAAACAGACCATCCAAAAACTACTGACGTAAACTAAACACCAGGAGCAAGGCTGGGATGTATACACAAGCTACTAGCAGACAGTCTGACACTGAAACGTGCGAACACACAGACTAAATATACAAGGAGCTAATTAACTAATGAAAGTCAGGTGTGGTGGAAAAAGACAAAGTAAGAAGGTAAAACACAAGATGACATATGGTGAGAGGAACTTTTAAAATCAAACAGGAAACAAACTAAAAGACCATGACAAGGATTACATCTTTAAACCTAGTTATGACATTAAATAACAGTGCAACTACTCTTTACCAAGATAAACCTGTTTGTTAGTTGTGTAATCCACGAACGTTTTCAAAGTAAACCAAAGCGACGAGTTGAAGGTTCCCCACACAGTCTGCTGCTCTGAGGCCGACTGAGTCACAACAAAACATACTTCTGCCATGTGTGGAGGTGATCACCCATTCTTCCTCCTTCCAGACCCCCAGTGCTCCTGGAGTTCTCACACAGACACCCAGCTCGCTCCCCGTCACCCTGTGAAATATCTAGATCAATACCACTTTCTGCTCTGTCGGGCAGCTCTGGAGGTTGTTGGATGGAGGCGAGGATGCAGGATAGAGCTGCATTGAAGAGGGATCATGCAGAAGAGATAAAGACAGCAAGAGAAAAGCAGACAAACGAGGCAACAAACAAAGACAAAGAAATATGGGAAGCAGTAAGACAAAGAAGATGTCTTTGCAGAACTCAAAGACAGCAGATTGTTCCGTGAGGTACTTCTGTTGTTTGCCTCTGACCTCTCTTTAAATATATACTCATTTGACTAAAGGCAGCCAAACTGAGTTTAGGATAGATGAGATGAAAATATCTTATTAAAATGGACTTCTTTGGAGAAGGCCTTGAAATCCTGATGATGAAACAGCGCTGACCCTATTACATCAAGATCCTCCTCTCAAAGGCAAGAGATGAACCTTGTTCATCGAGACAACAATGACACCAGAGAGCCAGCTGGTTGTGAACTCCTGGTGACAGCCCTCTAGAGAGAATGACAAGGGGAGTCAGCAAACACAAAGACAAGGAGAGGAGACTGAAAGCAAAGCCTCCTTAAGATGTCACTCAGAAGATTATGAGAATCCAGACTTCAGAGCGTCTGTCTAGTAGCTGCCTAGCATGTGCAGATGCTATGCTAAATAAAGGAGGATGGGACCAAACACTTCTAATCCATGTTTGGCAAGAAAAAGTAAATTCCACTACACAATGTTGACAGCAGTATATTCTGAACAAGCGCAAAAAAAATAGAAGACAATAGAAGAGAAGCAAGAAAGGAAGGATGGAAAAAAGGTCATTTTAATTAGAAGATAAAAGAGAAGAAGTGGAGAAATTAGATGGACTAAAATGGACTAATGGTCTCTGCTACGCGTCCACTGATTAAACAGCTCTTTGATCAAAACACAATCCAACACACATGCGCACACACACACACAAACGCACACATTTAACATGGTCAGATACATTCCACGCTGAGAATCATAAAAGAACCAATTATGAAAAAAATGAGCTACAGATTTTACCCACTTTCATCTGGATTTGTCACATTTCCTCCCTCTCTCTCTCTCTCTCTCTCTCTCTCTCTCTCTCTCTCTCTCTCTC